TAGACACGTCTTGGCCCTGGTAGTATCTCATCCTTCTAGAGCCAGCATCGCCTGATGATGAACAGTTGGGGGAACAATCAGGGAAATGCCACAGCTAAGCATCCTACAACAAAGAGAACTGATGACTAGCCCCGCGTGGTTCTGTGGAGGAGACGGTGGTGGGGACTGTACCTCACATAGTCTCATGTGGTTCTGTGGAGTACCTCATAGCCTCACATGTGAAATAGGTCTAGCTGGGGGCTGTACCTCGAATATCTGGTATAGCAGGCCAGGACACTGCTTATTCAGTGGGAGGTGGATTAAGTTTGAGATCCACCCAGTTGGGCAGTCCTGTACTGGGTGGAGGAAGCCACCTGCAGCAGCTTGTCTTATCAACCTTGATTTATACCTGAAAAGTCATAGTGACCATCCATTATTCCTACCCCTAAACAGTGTCAGGCCTCCTACCATGTATCCACAGCAGGGATATCTTCAGGGCCAGGAGGTAACTCTGTGGGTTATAGACTAGAGATACCAAATCAACTGGGTGCCGATTCATTGTGTTCAGAACATTTTCGTTTCCACTGCTGATCCAGCAGGACCCATCGCAGATGGAGAGATCAACAGGTGTGTTGATTATTGGGGAACTTCTAAGCTCTGCTGATGACATGGCTCCTCCCTGTCACTGGAGCAGAAAGACCAACGTCTTTGGAAATAGTCGCCCCACCCCCAATATCCAAGCCTGCTATTGCTGAGCTCTTTAGAAATCCCCAGGGCAGCTCCAAACAAACATGGTCCACACGAACACACATGCACATACACAGATCAAACAGAGAGAAGCTTTACTCGTACTCCCCCCCCCCGAAAACACGATACATATTGGCATATTCCAGGTGACTTAATGTAGCCTTTCTGTGAGGGGTCAGTCACAGAAGGCTCACCACTTCCTGTCTTGGGACCTTCGTGTTTGGAAGTGCTGCTCCAGAGCCAACTTCAGATTCTGTGCATTACCGGTTTAATTGTTTCCACTTTCATGGGGAGGCAGCTCCCACACTGGAGCATAGGGAAACAAACTACATTCGAAATGGCAACTGCATCATGGCTTCCCATCTGCTCTTTTTACGCCAGAACCAAGCTCTCTACCAGGCTGAGATTTGGTTGATCTCTTAGACCCCTATAATTGTGCTGAGTGCATAGTAAATACTGTCTCTCCCCTGCCCCACCACCCATCTCTTCATGAACCTGGTGTGGTGGCACATGCCCGAAAGTCCATCATCACTCAGGAGATTGAGGTTCTTTCAGAGGTTCAAGGTTACTCTCAGCTGCTTAGTGAATTAGAGGTCATCCAGGAACTCAGACCCTATCTTAAAAATGGGTATTTCAAGTCATTAAGAGCAGGTTTTAAACATTCTCACTGTAAAGAATGAGCAGATACTTAGGTGCTGGCTTTGCTAACTGGCTTAATTTTTCATGCAATGTAATGCATAGATCTAAATGTTACATTGTACTCCACAAATACACAAAATCATTAAAATGAACTAATTGAGAAGTTAAAAATAGTCAAAAGAAGGGCTAAATGGGGCAATTTACCAGCTAAGCTGAAGTACTAACCCTCACTCCTGCTGCAGTGACTATGTGTCCTGTTCTCTGTTCCCTGTGGATTCTTGGAGCCTCCTCCAAGATGGCGCTGCTGAGCCAGGGGGTGGATCCCAGTCTGGCCTGATGGACAATCATCAGGTCAAGGCCAACTCCCTCTAATGGACTCTAAAGAGAAGATGTGACTTCTCAGGCTATTTCCAGGGCTTTCGGGTTACGCTCAAGACAAATGCTGCATTCATATGACTCGTTATGTTATTATTAATAAGGAGCATCATTGGGTAGCTGAGAGCTCTTCCGGGTTGTGCTGCCTAAGCTCGCTCCCTAATGGATGCCCTCAGTCACACAACGCCCTTCAGGTCCAGGTCCTGCTTCCTGTCTATCTTCCCACACTTGCATGAGGGTCTGTCAAGTTCCGTGCCCCTTTATGTTCGGCACCCTCAGGGATTATCGCCTCCTTATCCAGTGCATTCAGGTGGCAGTATCTGTGTATCGATGACCATGGATTTGAAAACATTCAAGGATTTCCATACTTGAACATGATCTGTGATGGGGGAAATTTCTCACTTCTGTGAATGAAGCACAGTTGGAGGGTAGAGTAACTTTTTCGCCACTATGACAACAGCTTGGCTCACATTCTGAGGGTGCAGTCAAAGGCATGGAATCGGGGACATGGGGAAGCTTGGTCATGTTGCTTCCAGAATCAGGAAGCAAAGAGAGATGGATGCTGGCGCCCAGCTCAATTTCTCCTTCTCACGTTCAGCCCAGAACCCCAGACCATAAGGTGGTGCTGCCTTCTCTTTCTAACCTCAGTTACCTAATCTAGACATTCCCTCACAGGCATGCCCAAAGATTTGTTTCCTTGGATTTAAGTCCCATCAAACAATCGAGGTTAACTGTCATAGAAGGCTAAGCAGGTGCTTCCCCAGTAAGGTACTTCTACTCTATTTGACATTGTGTGTATCTCTTGTGGTGGGTTGTGAGGGGATGCCCCAACCCCTCACATGGGATGATGAGATGATGACGATGACGGAGGAGGAAGGAGAGGAGGTTGCATTAGCAGAGGGTAGAAATCTTGGTGCAGTCGTGTGAGAGAGACACAACCACCATCTGTGAATCACTCTTCTCTCATAGAAGAGGAGAAAATGGTGGAGTAGGGAGAACACTCAGCTGACGGGAGAGAGACACAGGCAGCTTTGAAAACTGTTATCTTCTGCGCAAGGCGAGCTCTGTGCTTGCGCGTGGCCTGGAGCTTCTGCCCGAGTCACCATGGTTCTTCATAAGTGCCTCCCAGTTTCTGCCCCTCTCCTCACCACCCTCCACCTGTTCTCAGGAGAAGTCCACACACACCTTTGTACTTTCTAGATAATCCCATCCTTCTTTGCCTTCACTTGTTCAACAGTCCTTAGGCACAGACGATGATTTTATGTCATGGGTGTTTGTTGAATGGCTACTGTGAGCCCCAGAATGCTCTAGCGCTAGGGAGGAGTTGATGACTGTCCTATCATCTTCACCTTTGCTGTGATAAAACACTAACCAAACATGACTTGAGGGAGGAAAGGGTTTATTTGGTTTATTAATCCACCAGCAAGGGAAGCCAAGGCAGGAATCTGAAGGCAGGAACTGAAGCAGAGCCCATGGAGGGTTGCTGCTTACTGACTTGCTCTCCCTGGCTTGTTCACTTGCCTTTCTTATATAGCCAAGGCCCACCTGTCTCAGGTGCACTGCTCATAGTAGGCTGGTTCCCTCCTCTATCAATTAACAATCCCCAAAATCTGCCCCCACAGACATGTCCATAAGTTGACAGCCAAGAAAAACTGTAACTTCGAGCAGAGCTTAGCTGGTAATTGCCAGTGAGTTTCTGCCCTTGGAGGGTGCCCCATAATAAGCAAAGAGACCTGCAGAAAATGTTGCCCTCCAGACTGACATTCAGTACTAAGGATGCTCACACAGGGCATGGTAGCTAGCCGTGTGACGTTCCACAAGCAATGGGCAGAAGATAGGTGAGAAAGTGCTAAAGGCTTCAGGGAACAGCGAGGAGCAGAGGAGGGTGACCTGAGTCACTGTGGGCCAGAGGACAGCAGATGAGGTCATCTGAATAGGCAGGTGTGCTGGACCAGGTAGAGGACTTTGTGTGACATGCTGTCTGCTTTTCTTGCAGTCTAGAAGATGAAAATCCACTTTGTAACATGCCATTGTGCTAAGCAGGAGCCAGTACTGTCTATTGCTATAATCACCCCCCTCCCTGATTCACCACACCCTTAGAGGAGGCTCCTACAAACCACAGTAACACCTTCGTGCATTGATCTGGACACAGTGTCCATTATGTGGCCATCACACACACACACACACACACACACACACACACACACACACACACACACAGCTAAGGGAATGGATGCACGAACGACGGCCTCCATATTGCCTGGCTATTCCACAGACTTTGAGTTTTTAGGTATGGTGTTTTTGTTTGAAATAAAATGACAAAATAAAGATAGTTCCTCAAGGATTCCCCATGTGAAAGCAGGATGCTCACATGCGCACACAGACAAGGGTGAGTTTCAGCTGGCTGGGAGACCTGCCTCCTGGTGGCAAGAAGAGGTAACACAAGTGAGCCATGCGCTCTGCCATTGCCAGTGTGTCCTGCCATTGCTCTGGTGTTCTGTCCCAGCAGGGTGTGCTCATAGATGCAGAAGCATTTAACACAAGGCTAGTGAAGAGCTGAGGACACAAATGACCGTGTAACCCACAGTGTTCACTGATATGGGATTATGTGCTATCTTGCTTCCCATGTGACTATACACGTACGCACCTGAGCACACTTGGAGAGAACCATGTGTGTAGTCTTGACCAGAACCCAGAATTAGACTGGTAACCTCACATCGCCACAGATCTGGCCACACCAGAGCAGAGGGATTGCCCGTCGTCATTGGGCCAGAAAATCCGAGCCTGGGGTAAGGGGACATCCTGCCAGTGGGCAGAAATTGTCAGGGTACTTGAGTGGGAGGGAATTAAGAAATTCTGAAAGATGATGAGAAAGTATAAGTTTAAAATGTTTATAATTAACTCTTTTCTTTTTGGTTTTTCGAGACAGGGTTTCTTTGTATTGCTTTGGAGCCTATCCTGGCACTTGCTCTGGAGACCCGGCTGGCCTTGAACTCACAGAGATCCAACTGCCTCTGCCTCCCGAGTGATGGGATTAAAGGCGTGCGCTACACACGCCCGGCTACTTACTCATTTTTAATATAATATTTTTATCAATTTGAGAATTTCCTACATGCATAGAATGTATCTTGATCATCTCACCTCCCCTCCTGCTGCTAAGTCCTTCCAGATCCATCCATTCCCTACCCCTTCCCAGCCTTGTGTCTTTTTTGTTTGTTTTAAATAACCAAGTCCAAGTTGTTCTGACCATATTCTCCTAGGTGTACGACTATCCTTGGAACGCAGTCAACTAATCAGAACCCTGTGCCCAGAAAACCGACATCCGTTCCCCAAGCTATCAGCTGTGAATAGCTCCTCATCTAGGGATGAGGGCTGGTGAGTCCTCCCAGCACTATGCTATAATATCAGCTGGCTTGATCCTGTGCAGGTGTTCATAGCTGCAGTGAGTTTGTGAGGCGGCAGTCCTGTTGTGTTCGGAAAATACGGTTTCCTCTGGTTCTTCCCCTACATCTGACTCTTAAAAATCTCTACCCCATCTTTTCTAGAAGCATTGCGAGTCTCGAGGGTAAGGGGTATGATATGGAAGTCTCATTTTCGGCTGAGCGCTCTTCAAACACCTGGTGTCTTCAAGTTGATTGGTTGTAAATTTCTGCGCTGCCCACCGCCCACTGCCCACTGCCCACCCCCAAAGGAGTCTCTGATGAGGACTGAGAGCTCCGCTGATCCATGGACACAGAGCCGTGCACTTAGAGGGCTGCTTGACACGATGTCCATTTGGCAGAACAATAGTAGTAGCTTCACCCAGGGGCTTATGAGTGCTCTAGATAAAATACATTTTTTTCACCACCCAATAAAATACATGTTAATTCACACTATTTAAGGACTTTTCTGGTTCAGGTTTCCAGGTGTCTTTAATGAAGCTCAGGTGCAGACTCCTGCTAGTCCGTAATCACGCTGCAGGTTTGAAGTAATATTGTGGGTTTTTTTTTTTCATCTTTAGATGGGGGGGGGGATAAACAGGACTGCCTGACCTGAGGTCTTGATTCCTTGGGGCCAAGCTACAACAAACATAAAGGGATACAAAAAAAAGGGGCAGTTGTCAGATTGTGTTTTTAATTACATGTCTGTATGTACATGCCTCTGTTTACATGCTTACACACGTGTCATGGAGCGTGTGTGGGGATCTGAGGATAATTTACAGGACCTGGTTCTCTCCTTCTGTCCTGTGGGTGTGGGGGGTTGAACTACCTTGTCATCAAGCTTGCCAGCAACTGCCTTTACCAGCCCAGCCATCTCACTGGTGCAAGTATGACTCTTTTTAAAATTTTTACCCAACTATTTTGTGTGCCCATGTTTGTGTGCAGGGTGAGCATGCATGCGTTAGCAACTGCATGGCACATGGAGGCCGAGGAGAGCCTTGGGTGTTGGTTCTCCCACACCATTCACACTTTGTTTCTTTGTAGAAAGGGTCTCCCTCTCGCCTGGAACTTGCCTACAAGGTTAGCTAGCCAGCTAGCCAGCTGCCCCACCTGTCTCTGCTTTTATCCTGCACCGAACCGGGGTTACAAGGGTTTGCCTCAGTGCCTGGCTTTTCAAATGTGGCTACTAGGAATCCAATTCAGGGCTTCCTTCTTCTGAGACAAGCAGTCTACTGGCTAAGCTGTCTGCCTAGCCCATAATAGTTTCCCAATAAACCTATCGGTGTCTTTGTTTTCACCCCTCTTGTAGGGGCCAGTTCTCTCCTTCCACCTTGTATCATTTCTGCTGCAGGGCACTGTGTACCCCAGCAAGCTGGTTCAGGGGCTTCCTGAAAATTCTCCCTTCTGCCTCCCAGCTCCATAAGAATTCTGGGTTCCAGATTCTTGCCACCACCATGTCCAGCTTTTTACATGGACCCTGAGATCAAACAGGCTTGAACAGAGTTAGAAACAAACAAAAAACAATCTCAGTGTCACACAAAGAACACTGGAACAAAGCAAAAGTACCTTGGCAAAACAACTCTTTTTTTTTTTTTTTTTCAAAACAGGGTTCACGATGACCCAAGCCAGGCTAGCAAGTGCCCTTAGCCAAGGGTTCATTCAGTCTCATATCCCTGACATAGAGGTAACTGCATCTCATCTCATTGGTGGGAGGTCCGCTTTGCATTCTGACCTGGCTAATCACCAGGTTAACTACCTTAGGTTAAAACAAAATACCCAACTCTCACAACACAGGCACTTTAATCCTCTGAATCATCTCTCCAGCCCTTTTCCATGTATCTTTTACCCCCAGTTATTTGTACTGGCAGGTGTGGGAACATTGTACTTTCTCAGTGGGGCTCAAAGGAGAGAAACATTGTAAATAAGGCAGCTTAATATTGCATCTCCTCAAACATCACCAACACAGACACACAGAGCATTTTAACCCAGATGGACAGTTCTCGGGGCTAGCTGGGTTATCAGCCCATTTTCATTTTTTTTTTAAGCTTCAAATAGAAACACGCTTGCCCAAGCCCCTCCCGAAGCAGGGACCTCTTTCAGTTTAACCACAGCTTTGAAACCCATTAATGTTAAAAACCTGTAATCTCTGCAAAGAGATTCTTTCCCTATCTTTGGGTTTAAAACACAGTAAATGAAGTGTGAATTCTAATTCAGTCCTTGGCTTTCATATATCTGAACAAATCACTTAAATGATGTGTAGTTTAACGGGACCAAGAGGCTTAACTAAATCACATGAGGAGAGTGTAAGAGATCCATGTTGGAAGACGAGAGTAATAACCTTGCAAAGATAAGTATCGCAAGCATGGAAAGGGCAAGGAAAAATTAATGGAGTTTTAAGGTCAAAGATATATTGAGGGGTGTAAAACTGTCAGGTCGTCTCATGGGAATCTGTTCTAAAACAAAATCCCGTGACCGTGGCACCCTCCAAGGTGTTGTTGTGTTTTCTAGACTGTCAAAGTGGGCAGCCGGTGGATGGTGTCCATCTCTGCTGCATGAGAGCTAAGAAGGCCATCAGGCAGGACGGTTTTCATTGTGCTGCTGCTCCGTTCTGCCACTAGAGGGAGCACGTGGCACACAACATAAGTGTAGCTAAGGCGGGAAGAGAAGGCAGGAAGAGGCAGAGATTGCCATAACCTTACACTCAGTTAAAGCCTGCAGTGACTGTAAGGGGGAATTTGAGATGCACAGTGCTCAAACAATCCCACTGAACACACTTCCCATACGCTGGCGTCACCCTGCATGCTGGACAGACTTCTCAGGTGCGTGATGAATCCTTTCCCATGAAGCCTCCTGTTTTGCACAGGAAGTCAGTGAGGCCCAGGGAGGAAGTAACTTCCAAAGGAAGCTGACCTCAGTTGTATGTGTCTATTACCTCAGCACTTGTAAGCCGAGGCAGGGGGATTGATTGAGACCAGGAGTTCACAGTCCACTGAGCCAGCACAGTGGGACTCCCAACTAAAATAATAATCACTTAAAATTAAAAGGAAAAAAATTTAAGGAAATGAGTCCCCCCATATCCCAAAGGACTTGCCTTTTCCACGGTCCGGGAAGGAGTGGGCCTAGGGCAGGATGCCCTTTGATTCTTACAGTTTTATGACCTCCCTACAAAAACAACACCCTGCCTTTGAAGTCAGTGTTCTGACATTCTATTTGTTTCTGATAAGTTATCCCCTATTTTCCACTGAAGAGCTGCCATGGCATTACAGAAGGAAGACAGAAGGAAAGAGCCCCTGATCTGAGATAACAAGTGACCCCATAAAACTGAAGGGAAATCAGCTGAACCTACCACAAAGCACGGGGAACAGCCCTAAATCCTGCTCAGTTCTGAATACAAAGGCTCCAGTCTACTGTTTTGAAAGAATCCCACAGCCAATAAACAAAAAGTGATTTTCTATTGATCTACGGGTCTCCCTTTGTGTTAACAAAGACCATGGTGTGAAAGTAGGGGCATAGTCCTTCCTCGGACAAGTTGGAATTAAAAGCTACAGTTAATTCCTTATCTTTAGTTTTGACTGTTAAACTTAGAGATAAGCACAGTTTTATAAAGCTACGAATAAGAGGGAATTGAATTAACAACAGAACACCTCTGCTTTCAAATAAGTGTGTGTGTGTGTGTGTGTGTAACTTTAAAAGACAGTGAGGTGTGGGAAGCCAGAGGTTGGGTGTCTTCCTTAGTCACGATCAACCTTGTTTTCTGAGAATCTCTCATTGAGCCTGGAGTTGAGCAATTTATTCCACTTGCAGGCTATGAAGCCCCAGGATCCTCCTGTTCCCCAGTTCCCCAGCACTGGGATCACAGGCTTGTGCCATGACACTTGGCTTTTATGTAGGTGCCTCGTATTTGGGCAGCAAGCACTTTACCAACTGAGCACTGCCCCCCAACAAAGACCTAATGACCTTCTTGGCTGGGCCAGCCACCTACCTGACTTATGAGACCTTAGACTCAGTCCCCGCCAACCACCATCCCAGTAACCCTCTTTCCTCCAGCCTCTTCATTTATTCATTCAGCACACGTGCACTGTTGCTTAAACGCCTGCCACCTGGTCTCCCTCAGCAGTGCTTGCCTGCTCACTGGGCATGCTCACAGCGCCCACCCCCAGCCCACCCCCTGACTAAGGGACTAGAGATAATTTTGTTTTCTCATGATCATCTTTTAAGGCACCTAATGTGGAGATGGGCTCCTCTGGAAGTGCAGTCACAAATGCTCGCACTGTGGCAAAGCTCCTCGCTTCCCTGGCAAGGGACACACACACTGACACTCTTACCCTTCCTCAGCAGCCCAGCATAAATTTCATTGGAATAATCCCATCCCCACATTCTAACCTGTAAAGCAGCTCCCACCCCATGCTTGTAGTGGGTCCTATTCACTTCCTTCTCAGGGCCCCTGTGGTGGTTTGGGATCTGTGGGGGCCGAGCATGTATAGTTTATAATAGTGTGTAGTTTGTGACAGCAGGAATGTGTAATTATTTAAGACCTGTGTGGTGGTTTGAATGAAAATGTCCCCCTTGGGCCCATAGGGAGTGGCACTTTAGGAGGTGTGGCCTTGTTGGAGGAAGTATGTCACTGGGGGGTGGGCTTTGTTTGAAGTTTCAGATGCTCAAGCCAGGCCCAGGGTTACCTGCTCTTCCTGCTGCCTGCCAATCCAGATGTAGGACTCTGAGCTACCTCTCCAGCACCATGTCTGCCTGCATGCCACTAAGTGTCCCAAAATGATGATAATGGACTAAGCCAGACCCAATTAAATGTTTTCCTTTATAAGAGTGGCCACAGTCATTGTGTCTCTTCACAGCAATAGAAACCCTAACTAAGACAGCCTGCTTTGGGACCCAAGTATGTACACTGTGCAATGAAGCACGAAGTGACAGGTACAGAGTGGGCATCGTCTGATGTCCAAAGAATGAACAGCTGGGCGGTGGTGGCACATGTTAGACCCCCGGAAAACTCAAGTACCCGGGGTCCCAGGCCACGTGCTCGGTCACCCCAATCACCAGGCAGATTCGAGAGCTTGCTGCAAACTGCACGAGGCTTTATTGTAATTTAACGAGCTAACCCCATGTTAGCTCGGGTCTTTCACCCATCCGCCATGGCAGAGGGCTAGCAAAAGACAGCTCCTAGGGTCTCCCAAGAGAGCTTATAGGACAGCGTAAGGGAAGTGTCTAGGGGTACGCACAGGCTTACGATTGGTGTGCCTCCAGGCTTGGAGGGCTTGCCCTGTGTTGATTGGTCAACTGGTTGTTATGGCTCATAGGCCCTCCCAGGGTGGTTGCTATGCTCTCTACGTCATTGCTGTGCGCTTGTCCGTAAAGCACACCCAGGGTCGTAAAGCATAGCGCCACCAGCTAACTTCTGATTGGTTCCTTATCACGAGACAGGCATCTGACTTTCTAGGGTCTAGGACAAGGTCATAGAAGCATGTGTTCCGCCGTTATGGCTGCCAAAAGGGAAGCTGGTCCCTTCACACAGGCCTTTAATCTCAGCGCTTGGGAAGCAGAGGAAGGTGGATATTTGTGAGTTCGAGGTCAGCCTCGTCTACAGAGTGAGTTCCAGGACATGTTCCGAGCTACATAGGGAAACCCTGTCTTCAAACAAACAAACAAACAAACAAACCAGAAATCCATAGGACAAACAAACTAAAGAGTTGAACAGAAGCAACTATCCAAGCTGCATTTTTAAATATAGCACTCCCAGTAGACTTACAGATGACAAACACTATTTTAAATAAAATAAACTAGAGCCAAGTGGCTGGGACCTCCATGCTCTCCTTCGGGAACAAACAGTTGACTTGTTTGCCATCTGATGTGCCCGTGAAGCCCTTCTGATCCTATGCCGCAGCTTCCTATTCGCACAGGTACAGCATATGTGTATCTCTCAACATCAGGCAAGCAGGTGGCCAGGAGGCTGGGACCCCACTTGTTTGGGGTGCTGCCTGCTCTGAGAGACAGTGCTGGTGGCCTAGCAGGTAGGAGCCAAAGCATAGACAGGAGGGTAGGTCTCATTGTGTGGGGTTCTAGCCTGACCAGCACCAGGCAGGACAGCATGCTGTGTGTCCACCGTGAGGCCCAACTCACACAGACAGAAGTGGAGGAGGCCTGGGGGAGGATGCAGAGTCGTATTGGGTGTCATGTTTGTGACAGTGACACTGCAATAAAGAACAGTGGAAGGGCCCTGAATTTCTTGTCTCCAGCCTTTGAGCAGCAGAGGTTCTGGGAAATGGAGGAAGGGATGGTAGTCTCCATCAACTCTATCCAGCCCACCTGGGATGGGTCCAGCGCTTCCTATATGGGGAGCTCTGTGCCAGCCAAAGTGAGGGAGCCAGACAGGTGGACAGCGGCCCTGTGGGGGCAGGAGCATGGCTCTTAGGTGCCGCAGGATGAAGCCAGTCAGGCAGAGTACCTCCCACCAGGATGGCTGTGGTTAACAAGTATGGGGGGTGGGTGTAGATACAGCAAGGTATTCACACTGCTGGAGGGGATGGGGGAAGGGCACAGCACGGTGGAAACAGTTTGACCATTTCTTCTTTATTGGCATATGTATGTGTGGTGTGCGCGCGTGTGTGGTGTGCACACATGTATTTGCATGTGTGTGTGTTGTGAATCCCGGAAGCTGGGATTTCTTTTTGCAAACAGTTTCACCATTTCTTCTTTATTGGCATATGTATGTGTGGTGCGCGCGCGTGTGTGGTGTGCACGCATGTATTTGCATGTGTGTGTGTTGTGAATCCCGGAAGCTGGGATTTCTTCCTGGATCAATCTCCATTTAATTCATTGAAGCATGGCCACTTACTGGATCCAGAGCACACGGATTCTGCCAAGTCTAGCTAGTCAGCTTACCTGGGGAGCCCCCGCCCCTGCCTCCCAGTAACAGGTGGTCACCACACCTGCCTGGATTTGGGTTCTGGGGGTTCACATTCCAGTCATCAGGCTTGCACAGCAAGATTTTATGCACTGAGCCATCTCCTCAGTCCTAGGCTATTTCTTTAAAGAGCAAACACATACAGTTTGACCCAGTCATTCTATTCTAGGTATTCACTCAAGAGTAATAGAGTGCACGTCTGCACAAAGGCCTGCACTCGGCTTCTCTGTGAAACCCCCAAACTGGAACTAAGTGAGTATCCATCATCAGTGGGATTCAGAGAGGAAGAAAAAAAATGTGTGTGTGTGTGGGGGGGATGCATATGAATATTAGAGGACAATTTGCCTGGATTGATTCTGTCCTGCTATCATGTGGAAAGGGAGAGCTGAGGATGCATGGGGAAACTCTTGAGGGAAAAGCAGATTTCCCAGGAAGGGAGCAGGATAGGGCAGCAGGATGTTCCTGTGTGCAAGGCCCAGGGCCAGCATGAGTATAAAGGTACTGAAACTCTAAGGATCCTGTAGATTTGGGGGAGATGGCGAATGATTGCAGGGATCCCAGGGGCTATGTTCGTATTATTTCCTTATAGGCTAGTGAGACACTTTGTGGCGGGGATTCTGGTCATGGTTATGAACATAGGCATGGCAACAGTCTGGAGGAGGGGGACAGAAGTAGGGAATGAGATCAGATAAACCGCTGATAGCATTCAGAGTACCAAATGGCTGCAGGTTGCCATAGTGGAGAGTGTTACAGGCCTCTGCAGAGGGAGAGAAGGGAGCTGGACAAGTTCCAAGAAAGAGATGATTAGATCTTGGTGAATGAACCCACGAGAAGGCCCATAGATGACTGAGCACCCACTAAATGGGAAGAGCTTTAGTGGGTGCTCAGGGGAAGAGCTCAGAGGAAGACTTGTGCAGAAGGGGCAACGAGACTGGACTTGGGGAACATAGGTTGGAAAGTTTGGCACAGGGGGTGGGACCCTTCAACAGTAGTGTGAAAACTGCAGCCCGGGAGGACAGAGGAACTGTGGGAAATCTCAGGGCACATGGGCACCATGATGCCATGAGTAATGATGACACTGTCAGGGAGTGGCCAGCAAAACCACCACAGGCTCCAGTGAAGGTTTGATCCCCAAGGTACCACAGTCTGTGGATTCTCAAATTCCTTACACAAAGGTGCAGTGATTGCTTGTATCAGAAGCATGACACCTTAGATACTTCATTACGCCATCAACTGATCTCTTACCCTGCTTATGCTCAACACTATACCAATGCTGATTATCTGGCCAAGACAGCCAACTGACTGGCTAACATAATAAATGAGAGGGGAGACTTTGGAGAGAAATGTAAAGTTCTTGATGACTGATAAACATGTTGTGGCTTACAAAGAAACCTTTTCATTTTGTCCCCCTTTTTCTTTTAAAGAAGATTTTAACTTTTCTGGTGAATTTGATTACATTTAGACTGTGGCTTTGGGAAAACTCCTGAGACCCTTATGATGATGTAACCCTCCTGCTGGGAGGTCTCCCAAACAGACCGG